AGCCTGGTCTGCCTGAACACGGCAGTACGGAAGCGAGTGCCCAAGGCCGGACAGACTGGATGGCTGGAGGCAGCCGATCGTGCTGGGACCAGCACCTGGGAAGGCGTTTCTCTGCATCTCACATGCATGTGCCCGCTCGACTATGAATAAAGAAATCAATTAAAAAGAAAGACTTTAACAGGATAAAGTCTTAGAAGTGGAATTTCTGGAACAAAAGGCATGTGCATATCCAGTCCTCTTCTTTTTTATATGGGAAACTGAGGTTTAGGAAGGTTCTGCGACTTACCCCAGGCACTGTCTCTGGGAGGGCTTAGCCTAAAGTGAAGATTTTTTCCTGACTCTTCGTACGATAACCGCCCACCTGTACTGCATCTCAAGGAGGGCAAAACCGGCTTCATAATTCAAGCAGAGCTCCAAGTAGTGGCATATTTCTGAGGTACCGTTATAAACAGATTAAATTCACCCAAGCCGATAATCTATGCTATCGGTTCCGATATTAACCTGGTGTCGTTTATGTTTCTCATACTTTGACTCGGTAATACAAATCAGATCTGTTTATACTCAAGAGAGCCCAGGACTCCTTAGGAGGTGAAGACTAAGCAGCATCGTAAATTCTAAATGTCTGCGTCTTTGTTTTAATAAAACCTTTTTAATTTAAAATTTATTTTAAAAATACTACACGCACATGATTCAACTAGCGCTCACATTCTCTTACAAATTCGAACTCAAATACAGCCGGACTCCTTTACCTTTGTTATTGTAGACATCGAGGTAATTGGGGGCAGAGAAGATTGTAATGAGGGACGGAAAGCCTGTACTCTGGGTCTTCCTGTACATCCGATACCTGGGAGAGACACGACACTCAGACGACAGCTCCGTCTTGACATTACAGGTGACATTCGGTACAGTTTCAATACACTTACCCAGCATCTTGGGCTTCATGGGCCCTGATGATTGATAATAAATTGTTGTTCTGCAAAAATTCACAAACAGCAGGGTAGCTGAAAAAGAAAATTCAAAATCATAAATGCAGAATTAGAACGATTATTTTCAAATGCACCACAGAACGTCCACAAATAGCTTAGTTCCCGGAGCTTTGTTTTTCCTTGTCGCGAGTGGAGCTCATCCCAGATCCCGCGTGACAGACAGTCCTAGGACAGAAAGAGCTCCCCGCCTTTTACTTTCTTTTCTTCTCTTTTCCTTTTTTCTTTTTTTTACTTTTTTAAAATAATTATTTTATTTAACTTTATTTATCCTTTTATTTATTTATTTATTTATTTATTTATTTTAATTTGACCAGAGAGGAATAGAGTGAGAGAGAAAGTGAGAAAGCAAGCCAGCAGGGCTGGGACTCAAACTGTGGTCAGCCATGTGGGAGTCCAGTCCCCTTAACCACCACGCCACCTGCTGGTCCCAAGTATTTTCTTCTTAACCCACTATAATAACAATAATAACAAGCTTGAAGAAGGCAGCCAGCCCGTAGCCTGGTGGTGAAGGGAGCTGGATCCCACAAGGCAACTGTGCATTTCACGTTCTGAACCCAGCAGTTTGAAACGCATGGCGTATGTGTGTGCATGCCCAAAGTCTAGAAAGGAGAGAGAAAGGAGGAGAAGGGACCGCAGCACGACCATTCCCCGAGGCGGAGTGCTTTCTTCCTCTCCCTCTCTCTGTCTCTCTCTGGTGAGCATGTGCACCTTCTGACAAATTTTTAAAAAATAAATCTTGGGGCCAGCAGGTAGCATGGTGGTTAAGGGTGCTGGACTCCCACATGGCCAACTGCGGTTCAAGTCCCAGACCTGGGACTTGAAATAAATAAAGTTAAATAAAATAATTCTTAGAAAAAAATAAATCTTGATGAAGAAGAAAGATTTTTACTTGACAAAGAGTACACGTGCAAGAGGGAGAGAGAAAGAGACACATAGAGAGAAACGACCTCCCAACAGGTCCTGGTCCTGATAGCCTTTGGACACTCGGTTCACACATCTGCAAGTGGGGTTCATTTGCAACAGTTACATTCTATCATGTTGCTACAAAAAATGGATTAGGGAATGTTAAGCCATTAATCCTAGGGGAATCACAAGGTGAGGCTCCTGTGAGGCTCTGGTCATACGTAACATTTTTATAAACTGATTAAGACAGCCCATCTCAGACATGTATCTATGTAAATACCGATCAATTTACCAACACCACCATAACCCCTGCTGATCAAATCCTATCTGTCACAAGTGTGGGGTTGTCAGAAAAGTCATGACACATTTTTGCATAGAAAACAGGAAAAAAAGTTTAAAAATGGGACTATCAGTGTAATGGCTATGTTGCTGGACTCCCATGTAGTCGACCACAGTTCAAGTCCCAGACCCGGTGGCTTAAACTCACGCCGGGTATATGTGTGTGCATGCCCAAGATCCCAAGAGGACAGTGGAGGAGAAGGGATTGTGGTGTGGCCATCCCCTGGGGGGTGATTTCTTCCTTTCTGTCTCTCTGTCTGTCTCTGTCTTTTTGGCGAGCACCCGTGCCCTACAGCAAAAACCTCTCCAAAAAAAAAGTAGAAAACATGAAAAAATACATCATGACTTTCGGATGCCCCCCACATTTCCCTGCGTGGCCCACAGCCTTCCTGTGCTAAGGATGAGCATTTCTTACTATACTTGAGGCCCTCCCTCTTTACGATAGAGCACATACACATGAGCAATGAGGGGCGCCCCTGCAGGGTCCGGTCATCAAGCCCCTTCCTCCAGTCCTCCAGCCCTGCAGGTCCTGGCACGCAGGGCCATGCCAGGCACCTTTCCCTGAGCAGGCCAGGGATTCGAACTGCAGCGTGGATCGAGCGTCTCTTGAACAGCACGCTATCGCTGCGCCCAGAGCCAGCCTTGGGAGTCATTTTAAACAGTGAAATCACTAACAAAAAAGCACAAAACCGGGGGAAAGGTGCATTAAGCAGCCCACGGGAGTACTCGTTTACCAGAGAGCTGAGACAAGGAGGCAGCGACTGCCGGCCGCTGCTGGGAATGGCGTGATGGGATGGGAGCCAGTGCTCAGTCACTGCGCAATGCACCTACCCATGAACGGCCGCGACGGGCCTGTGATGCTGAGCGTGACGGTTACTGGGGTTTGTTATAGGGCATGTGCACTCGCAAGAGACAGGCAGAGAGAAAGAGAAGGGAAAGTGAGAAATCTCCATCCCCTCCCCTGAGGAGGTGGCCACTCTGCATTCTCTTCTCAGGATTCTGGGCAGGTGTGCACACGTCTGGCCTGTTTTCCAAGGCACCAGGTCCAGACTCAAACCGCGCACTCAGTCATGTGAGATCTGGCCACCTTCGCCACCTCATGTCGGGCTGGCTGTGCGGTCTGTGGTTATTGATTTGCGGGGTGCAAAGAAATCTTGCTGAGTAGAGGAATTCATAAACACAAAACGTGAAAATAATGAGAACTGACTGTATACCCCAGGACTGAGCTGTAGGAGAATCTGTGGGTCGGAGCCCATGTGACCTCTGCAGAAATGATCATTTATACCCTGCCAGCAATACATATTACATTTTTATTCTAAGCAATGTAAAAAGAAGTAAAAGTTACATGATTTAATCATACGAGTCACTAGAAAAGTTGGTAGGAAAGAATAAAAAAGGTTGCTTAGAATAATATTAAAACTTGGGGCTGGCAGGTGGCATGGTGGTTAAAGGCACTGGATTCCCACATGACCGACTGTGGTTTGAGTCCTGGACCTGGCAGCTTGCTTTCGCACTTTCCCTTTCTTTGTCTCTCTCTGGTCAAATTAAAAAATAATAATAACAAACAGAATTAAATAAATCATTCATTTTTTTAAAAAATTATATAAAAAAAGATGGCAAAATTAAATCTTCTTTTGTGTGTATGTGTGTTTACATTAATGAATGTATTATCTTAGCCAATTAGCAAAGACTTTAGAGGACTAAATGTATATATATATATATATATGTCACAGTGAAATACTGGGTTTAAACATAATTTAGATTTCGACCTTCCACATATCCTTGTTTTTGATTGGCAAACCACAGGAAAGCTCACATGTGAGGGTTAAGACAACAGCCAACTTCCAGGAACTGTCCTGGGCTTAGCTCACAATGTCCTGTTCTTTTTATATCTTTGCACCAGTGGTTCCAAAGGCGGGAGAGCTTTGTATAACCTCAGAGCATTCTCCTGTCACAGACCTACTGAATCAGAAGCTTCGTGAAAAGAGCCAAGGAATCGTACTTTTCAAACAGTACATAGATGATGCTTGGGGACCAATAATCTAAACCCTTAGAGTCAGACGACAATACCGAAGCGCTGACGGACGCCCGATCATGTTCGGCGTGTTACACTCCCTAGGGCAGAACACCAGAGAAAATGAAACAAAAACATCTCTGCCTTCTAGCAATCAAAACATTAAACAGAAGTGCCCAAATAGATAGTTAAGATATAAAATGCTTAAAACTAATTTGCTCGCAAGTTTAACAGTTCCGTCATGCTCTGCTCTGAGGGTCACTCACCTGTAAAAGTAGGAGCACCCTCGGACGGTATTGTGGGTGTAGTGCTCTGAGGTCTTCTCACTGCCGTACTCCTCTGAGGGGTCAGACCAGAGCAGGTCACACACGGGCCCGAAGGCAGGAGGCTCGGTGAACCTGTCCAGCTGGAAGGCACGCAAAGGCCAACAGGAGGAATCAGAAAGGTCAGACCACTCTGAGAAACTGGTATGGCCACAGACCTTCCTTCCACTCACAAGAACGCTTCAGGGGAGAAAGTGGGAAGCCCCTAAATAATTCCCCACAGGGAGAGGGACACTGAGCAAAGTGTGCTGTGCAACTTCCGTGATCAGTGTTTATAAACGTCCCTGGCACCGAGCTGGCTGCAGGACAGGAGGCCGTGTGTGCGAGCTGTGTGGTGGCACTCATGTAGTTCGGGCACGCTGTCAGGCCCTGCAGGCCGTGTGTGCGAGCTGTGTGGCGGTAGGACTGAGGCCGTGCACGACAGCAGGACTACAG